TTGCATTCAGTGTGTGTGCAACACTGACCAACTACTCATGTCAAGAATGAACTGGTACCAGCAAGGGTTAGATGAACATAAAGGATGATAGAAACTCTGGAAAGGAATACACGTGGTCCGTTGGATATATGCAAAACTGTGTGAACTTTCAAAGTCAAGGAGGAATCGTTTTAAAAGCGTCTAGGACAAAAAGAGATAGGCAGACCCATGAAACTTCCAAAATATGCAAACAGAAAAATAGAACGGCTAGAAGTCTTCCTGTTCTAATGCAGGATGATAGAGAGGATTTCTAAGCCCTTGAATGAAGTGGAACAGGTCTACTGGAGCAATATAGAAGAAGCCAGCTCTTGTCTTTGCACTGCATTGAAAGGCGTAGTCCATGATATTTGTTCGGGCGGAGTCAGAACTACAATCTAACTTCTTCGCTGGCACTGCCCAATATTATGTCACGGCAAAGAAATAGTGAAGACAGAAAAAAATGAAAAAGGACTCTGCTAGGTTCGACATCGCCTTACGGCTTCGGTGATCCGTGCCTTCAAAAGCCACAGAGTGATTCCCATTGGTGCTGACGTCATGTTTATGGTGAAGAGTTGAACAAAATGATTTTTGATTATGAATGGATGAAACGACTGGTGAATGTAAAGTTGTCTGAGGGAACTCCTAAGAAAGGGTTTTCTGAAGAGCTGTTCGACTCTTCAACGCTTCCACAAGGTTACCGCAAAATACGAAAAAATCTTATTTATTAAAGCACAAGGTGCTAGCAATCGTTTGACAGAAAAGCTGTGCTTCCCTTTCGGTTAATGATCAGCCCTCAAGCAGGACCTCTAAGAAACAATCGAGCTCAGACGGCTGCCAAAAAGAAGTCATGACTTTTTCCTTGAATCTGTGCGCTGCAGATGGTCATAGAAAAAGTTCTGATGAACAGTCGACGCTATTGTTGGCGCTTTTGATTTTCACATGAACCAAACTACCAAAAGAACAACTAAAGTAGCCTATATGGCTCGACTACGGTAGGAAGGTAACAGCGCTGCAATTGCAAAATTTGTCCTACCTTTTAGTCAACGCTTCACTGCAAGGGATCGTGACTTTGGAAAACCCTGCAAGAATGAAATGAAGTACAGCACAGTTGAATTATTGATTAATTCGAGGACCTATCTTGTTTTTAGCAGTTTAACTTGCACAAGATCATCAGTGCAAAGTACCCCTGAAAAATCTCATCAGAGACGATAAGCAGGTGTTCTCTCTATGAAACGTAACAATTCTGTAATACGCTCTTTGATGAAGGTAACTATATAGTAAAGAATTTCACAGTTACAGGAAAGAAGTTCTCGGCTTACAGTCAGCAGTTGTTGTTGAGGAATATAATGAAACTATTCCTCGGAATGGAATTTTCTAAAATAACTTTGAAAGCGATCCTACTTGACAGTGTTTGTGAATACAATTATGTGTTTCACGTGGAAGAACTAACGGTTCCCTGTGCTTCTATCTCTGTGTCTGGTCTGTCTTTCTCTTCTTATTCTCTTCGGCGCCTTACCTCTGTCCCGCGCCCGATGCTGAGTCCGTGACCTTGTGATATGCACTTCGAGTTTCCCTGAGCTTCACTTTACGAGTTGGTGTGCAAAGGTTTCCAAGGCAAGCTCCTCTTTTCAAGGAACTTTTGGTGGTGATATCACCTAGTGAAGCTTAGTGAAGAGAAGAGCTTCCATTCACCCTTTAATCAGAATATATTTATTTAGCAGTAAAAGTATGAGCTGAAAATATAAAGTAATCAGTGAAGTGAAGTGAAAAAAACAGGGTCACCACTGACCGATCTTCGTGTGACGCAGTGGTTTTTCAACGACTACGGTGGAACACGCCGTGAACGCTGAGTACTGGAAGAAGAGTGACTGCACGCGTCGAAACGATACTTGCAATCACGCCCAATCACGCCTGTTCAACATCCCCTTGGGAAAAGCTTGCAGGGCCTCTAACGTTTTCCCCAAACAGCACTGTATGAAAATACAGACCCGATGGTCCGGTTGCCCGGTCCAGCGGGGTCGGATTTGTTTTTTTGACGAACGCCTTTCAACACAAGAAGAGAGGGCTCTCTCTGCGTGAGGCATGGCTCCGCTTTTATACTGTGTGGTAAGGTATTGTCGTGTGTATGCTTACTCGTGCCCCGGCTGCCGACGGGTGCTGTGCTTACCCTTTGCTCATGATGCGGTGTGTTCGGTGCGCTTGAGTGTTGGTCATGGACGCCCCGCTCGTGCGAATGGTGGCCGTGTGGTGCCGCGAGGGTAGCGTGCTGTATGAGCCGCGAGCATGCTGTGCTGAGCGCTGTCACGAACGGGCGGTGAGCAGATTGGGCGGCGCATTGTGCGCGAGGTGTTCTGGTACTGGGCGATTACGTAAGTCCTACGATTTCCCGGCCGCGAAGCGGCGGCAGTGGGGGGCCGGCGCCGGTGTGTCGCGCACGCTCGTGACTCGCGAATGATGTTGACACACCGGCCAGCGCGGGAGCGTAGTGCTTGACTTGCCACGCGATGTGCCGGGCGCCTTTTGCACTTTGGGGGACTCGGGGTTTGGTGTTCACTACGTCGCTTCGCACCGCGGCGCCCCGGCTGTTGGGGGCGGGTTTGGATGTTTGGTGGCGGCGACGTTACGCGTCGGGCCCCCCGTGGACGCATGGGGGCGGGTGGTGGCAGGAGCCGACGGACGCGCGCCGCCCGCGGCGGTGCGAGGCCATGTCCGTAACATGGTTGTTTGGCTGCTACAGCCCCGGCACGGTTCGCCGGTGGTGGGTCCTTGTGGCAGGGCCTCGTTTCCTGGCCTTCTTTCGGCAGTGGGCGCGGTTTTGCTGTGGGGCGCGTTCCCGTACGGCCCACAGGCGAAGGGGTGGCACGGCGGGGGGTCGTTCGGCTGTCAGTGTCAACCGGATGAGAGAGCTGGCCTGTTGCACGGCATCCGAAGCGGTTTCCGGGTGAGGAGTAGGGGCATGTGGATCGGTTCTGTAAGTCGGCGCACACGTGAGTGGGGTAGGTCTCTGTGGCCGGCGCTCCAATGTGGTCTCAAGTTGGAGGACGCGTGACACTCGTTCGCACGTTGCCTGAATGGGGTCTGGCGATTTTACTTTCCGGTGACGATGTCTTTACGACGTGTTGCCATGTAGCATGTGCTAGCTGTCTGATGCGATTGGGGACGTGTTTAACAGTAATGAATATGTTAGACGAGATCACTGTGAGTGAATTTATGTGAGTGTGAGTGTGTCTAAGTGCTATGATGATTCGAATGTTTTGTTTAGTTGGTAAAGTTCCTGCATGTATAACCTAAATGTAGTAGTCCTGGGGGATTTTTTTAAGAAGTAGTCTAGTAGTAGTAGAATTTTTTGCTGATCCGCACCAGCCCATAGACGAAAACTATACGGTCACGATATCTTCCTTCGTGTTTATCACAAAGGAAGCGTAGGAGTAACGTAAAGAAATAATCCAGTACCTCTAAAGGCGGATCTGGCGAGCTCTTTGGGGATCTTCCTTCTACTCTTTGAAGTCCTCACTTGAGGTCGGTCCTAGCTCTCCGAAGATCAAACCAAGCTTAGTGCTCCAGGTGGGCCATGTCGTGGAGCTCCCTGCAATAACAGATGCTTCAGGATATTTGTCAAAATTGCCCTGGACATTAGTGATGGTACAGATCGGAAGGAAACACTCGATGAATGATGTTTTTGTCGAGATTGTTGCGTGAGCCCAGGTGTCGACAGCCCCACACATGCTTAATATGCATCAATCCTCTACCTTGTCGATTATTATCTAATCGTGCGTCTTCCGTGACTCTCTACATCCATTATTAACCCTCACCGTATACCAGAAGCAAATTTATAATAGCGCTAGCATCCGCCCATTAGCGTGAATTTCCTACCATAACCGCGAGAGACACACCACCATGGCGAATGATGGCGTTAAATTGAAAAGCAAAAGTGCGCCCTTGTCGTTATCTGGGAACATTATCTTCCAGAGATAATCCCATCAAGAAGGACATTCACCAGCTCTCACTAGGTCATGACTTCTGGGAAACTCCACCCATAAGTTTGCTCAGAAATATCTTTTTTAAATTTATTAGCATGGTTAGTGAAATGACCAATCACACGGCGAATACAATCAAGGGTTCAGATGTCATAGATTACTGAATCGAAAGTGTAGTACTGAGTGATTACTAAATAGACTGTTGAAACGGTGGCTAGTGGTTGTATGAATGAATAGAAAATCTGGGCCTATAAACACAAACACTCTTGAGACTAGTTCACTAAGGAAATTACGGGGATTGTGGAATCACGCCATAACAGAACAAAAATCAAATTTTACAGAGAAAAAATTATGAAGATTAGGAAATACAAAAAAGTAATTAAATTTAAGACATACGAAAACATTGATATGCTTTGAATATACACAGTGAGTCGATCAATAACATAAAAATAAAGGATAAAATTCAAAATGAGAGAAAAATAATAATAATAAACAGCAATCCGTGCCGCGTCGATAAATTGCCGTAAATAATGACACGAAATTAACTTAGGAAGATGCATTCGTAGGAGTTCACGATATGGACCAATGGGAGAAACGAATGAAAAAAAACTCGAAAAAAAGAAATATTTAGCAGAATATGAAACAGCAAATAACAATTGATGACACAACAATAATGAGGAAATGACATATATATATAATTATATAATGGGATTTAATGTGAGATACAGAGTACATGGAAATTCAAAAGTGAAACCGTCCGTTGTTACGACTATGAAAAGTTAAGAGGAGAGGAAAAACAATTATGCACAGAGAAAGCGCTTTACGGACGGTTCAGAGATTCCTGTCGGCAATACTATTAATACAAAACTAAAATAATACAATTAAAAAACATAATTATAATATAATAATCGTTGAGTGAAAATCGTCGCATGTATAGAGGAGGATCAATTAGTATCATTAATTACTGGCCAGTATAAATTGAAACTATGTTGGCCGTAACGGTCATTACTCAGCCGTCTGTAACATATGCGATTGATGATGATGGGCAAAATCGGCCAACAAAGCTGCTCCAGTCAAACCCGCAAAATCCAGCTGAAATACGTAGAGGATTACTGTAGTCGAGATATCGTGTAGGTACGGCGAAGAGAAAGCTCACTTGTGATGTCGGAGATATCGATTGATCTTCAGGCCAGTTTGGTTCTTTCTTTTTCATCATCGTCTTGTATTCGTTTATGCGAACTTTTTTCCCGTCCACCAGGCATGTTCGTTTCGGTCGGGGCCTAAAAAGGGAACAGCTGTTTGTTTGGCACGCTTCCAAAAAATTATTTATTGGGACCTGTTGGAGCGTTCTTTGCACAAGAACTACAGTCATACCTGTAACGGTAGTCGGGATGTTGCTCCATATGCAACTTGCTCAAGCGTGATTGCTCCTCATAGTACGGTTGCTTTTCCGAATTACTCATCGATTTCCATCGATTTCCTATAATCGACAAATGATCGGCTGAGAACTTCGACGATTACGGTAGCAAAAGGTCTTACCAAGAATTTTACTAATGTTACTATTGTGCATGTCTGGATGGGCCTTTAGAATCTTCCTTCTCTCATCGCGAGCCCAAACCTACAATAAAGATGCATATTGATTTATCACCAGATGAAGTAGCTGTTTACTAATAAGTTGACTGTAACAGTACCATGAAAGCGTTCATGGGCCTTTTGATGTGATTGGGTGATTTGGCCTGAGTTCGGACGCTTGTTGGAGGTTCCAGTGATGATAGAAGTGAACCATTTCCGGGGGTACTCTTACCGGATGAAGCCGGTGAATGATTTGTGAATGCCGATGCTAAACAAATGAAACTGGTAATGATGACATAGTACTGTCATTGACATGTTTGAAAAGTACTGATAAAATCAGGGCATTTGCAAGTTTAGATAGAGTAAACGTCATTGACCCCATTGAAAAAGCGTTATTTGTTCAGCAGTTTGACTTTATTGATGGGAACCGAACAAACAAATTCATTACGTGTTATCATTGAGGATAGTTTGATTTTGAAAAAATGAAAAATTTCTGAGTTCTTACAATCGGAAGCGAAGTTATGCGGCATTCCGAACGGAATCCTCCCGACAATGTTTGACGGCGTCAACGGCGATGTCGATAGCGTTGGAATCACTGGGCTCGGCTTACTGATTTCTTCATTTTTGACCTGAAAAAGGGTCAAATCTTCCATGGATTACCGGTACCGAAAAAAAGGGGAAAGGGTTACTTTTGTAAGGTTCAATGGGCAGTCGGTAACTTTTTCCGGTTTAGGTTTTGGTGTAGCAGCGGCCAATGAGGCAGTTAGATTCTGATGTAGTAACGAAGGCATTCCGGCATTAATCATTCCATTTCCGAGCAAATGCTCATAATGAGCTCCTATAAAGGTCGTGAAATCAATGCATATCTGTGTCATTTCATTGTATGGATTCTCTGCATTGAAACGAATAGTTTAATTGTTTCATTAACGAGCTAATGGTACAAAGGCACAGCTGGCACATTGCACCCCACGATCCGAGCCAGCCGCTCCTTTGCAGGAACCGACACCAATGGGCACATAAAAGGCATCGGCATCATTCATTTAAGACTTTGCGAATTTCTCTCTGAGTTTCTATGGACCATAATTAAACTCCTACCTGGAAAAAGCAGTGAAAGATTTGGTTGTGTCATCATGGCTAGAATTCGTTGTTGATTTTGTTGATGAATAAGCATCTGTTGCCGAAGAAGCATCTCATCAAAACTGTCCGATTGCATTTTCTGAAAATCAAAAACCTTCTCTCAATTGAAAGAGAATGTTTATTTTAACATTTGAAAGAGAAGAGGAGGTGAATGAGGGAAGAAAAAAAACCGGGGGTGCATGCGTTAGACGGAAGCCGCTCACACCAGCTGCAACAATAGCATGCGGCGACGCAGCGAAAGACTACTGGCGGCATAAAAAAAGAAACAAAACGTTACGGTAGCATTACGTAAGCTATACTGAGTTACTATAAGTTCAAGTAAACGATCTACAGTTTGAAATGAGTTATTACCTGTTGGCTACGATCGTCTTTAATAAAGGCGTCCGTTTGTTCCTCTTTGTCCTCCTTAGTGAGCTCCTCGCTCGATAGTCGCTCTTTTAACGTTGTTAGCTGAATAGTACATTTTAAGTAAACTGCCTAAATTACCTGAAACTTTCTTACTAGTACTCTCATACCTGTCGAATCACGTTTTGAATAAGATCAAGCTTCCCGTCGTGCGATTCAAACGAATTTAAAAGTTCCCTGAGTGTATTACCGTCAATGAGAACTGTACAACCTTGTTCAGTTTGAGCGAGTATATCAGGATAATCAGTTACACCAGTAGTTGCCGACGTGCTGAAACCATGAGCTGCAGCTTCAAGAACTCCATATGAAACGGCCATTTCACGACTGATTAGGCTCGTTGTTCTCCGTGTCAAAATAAGCACAATATTCAACGGACCATTCATTTGTTTGTTTTTTGTTTAAGATCAAGAATGCTACGCCTTTCGGTCAAACAACACATTCTCTATCATGAAGAAACGATAACAATTTCAAAATCTCTCTTTCTTTCTCATTCCCTCCTCAGCCAGACAAAGTTTGGACAAGAGAACGCGCCTATGCAACGATGATGCAGGCTGTAAATCTAGTCTTTTTATTGAAACATAAGAATTTCTCTCTAGAAAATTGTCTTGACGAACAAATGAGATGTGAAATACGGCAGTACAATCGTCGGCACCTCGTACAACCCCCTTTTCGTCGATTTCGTATGAATTGAAGTAATTAAGGAGAAGATGTCAATGAAGGATGAGCACCTTTTGAACATAGGATAGGTTAACTCTCACAATACATTTAACTATTCGATTTAATGTAATATTTATTGAATGTGTGCATAATGAAATGAGATAAGCATAGGGCGGTATTCCGATTGAAAGAAGAATAGAATTCTCTATGCGGTCATTAGCTTAGTTACTGATGCCGGCAATGTTCGATGCGCACTACTAAACGTGCATCTCTAACACTATCAAATAGTATGCAGAATGGAGCACACTCTAAGAGAAGTGTGTCTAGGAATCAGAATACAATCGTACAACGCATGCACGAAAACTGTTCGAGATCGTGCAAGCTTCGCAAAGGAAAGGTCTGGCCGGAATCGTGCAACATACGCGCGAAAAAACGCTTAGGATCATTCAATGTACGCGCGAAAACCGTTCAGAATCGCGTGGAGTATGCACAGCAAACTTCAGAATTTACAAAATACTTATGAAAGCGCTTGGATGTACAGCATGTGCACGAAAACGCCCAGCATCGTGCTACATACGCGGGAAACCCTTCAAAATCGTGCAATATACATAGGGAAAACTTTCAAAGTAGCTTAACAGATACATGACAAATGGTCAGGGTCGTACAGCATGCGCAGGAGCACCGTTCGGAGTCGTGAAAAGTATGTGCGAGAAGTATAAGAATCTTTCAAGGCATGCACGGAAAGCCTTCAGAATTATGCGAAGTGTGCATGAAAACTTTTAGAATCATACAAGGTCGTGCAAAGTGGGCACGAAAAATTCCGGAATTGTACAAGGCACGCATGAAAACATAAAAAGTGTGCAGGAAGAACTTTTGGAATCGTACAGCATGCGCACAAAAAATGCCCAGAATCGTGCAATGTACGCAGGAAACCTTTCAGAGTCGTGCGACGTACGCATGAAAACCGTTCAGGGTAATGCAAATTGCAAAAATTTTTCCGCATCGTGCAAAAGCGTATGAAAACGTAATCGGAATCGTGCGAAATGTGCACGAAAAAATTCGTCGTGCAGCGTAGCATGAGAAGCGATCACGTGCCTGAGAAGTCCAGGAAAAGCTATGAAGCACTGACGCTATATGAGAGCTCATTTAGTATGAAGGGTAGAAAAGCAATGAAGATATGCATTCATCAACGTCGGCCGGTTAAAATCGTTGATGTTGTGAAAACATATTGTTCACAAGTAGTTCACGGTGTGAGGATTTTTTTTTCTCCTCGGTCTCACTAGCAAAACACATCAGTTAAATGGTTCAGATGATGGAGTTGCAACAGCTGCCGCTTGCTCCCGTTGATTCATACTGATTATCTATCGAGGAGAGCAACATGCTTGGCTGACCAGTGTCAAAGTGGACAACGGCACGCTTATCAGGCCTCAACCGAGTTTGTCGCTTGATCCCTTACCGATAACAGAGGTCGACTTGGGCCGCATCGTGTCACGTTCGTCGCCTGACATTCGAACGTTTAGACGTTCGCATAGAATCACAACATCACTTCCGGCAACTTACGCTATGTAACAGCATGCTCTCAGGGAAAGGTCACACTACCAAAGTGTACTGTAGCTTTCCTCTTTCAAATTTAGGGGTTAAGCAAGAGCTTTCAAGGCAGAGAAAGTAGGCTGAGTATTGCGATGCCAACGGCAAATATCGGTAGCGGTGACAAATCCACGTAGTGGTGTCATTGGCGAGTTACGCGACGTCAAATGAAGCGAATTCCCATTTTGTCGTCGGCTAGCCCGTGGCTGTCACTCAACTTTTCTATTGCCATTTTGTGTCAAACAGAGAGAGCGTGTGAGCGCTCAAGCGCAAGCCACTCATCGCATACAATTGAATATACGGTAATGCTAATTGCCATTCTGTTTGAATGCCGTCATTGAAACTGAGCTGCTCTCCAATGATCGCGCCGCATGTTGAGGAAGTTTTCGAAGCGATAATGAATTTAAGAGATCGGAAACCTTCCCTCCCGTCACTTCCCTCAATGTCGTACCCCCACCCGGACGGTATGTCACATTTCGCCCCCGCGCATGTATATGTTTCACAAAAGAGCGTAATTTATTAGGTTCAGTACGGCATAGTGCAAGACGCTACAGAACAAAGGCCACTGGACAATGGCATTACTGTAGCGCGCCAAACATCCAATAAATTGTCCGCAACCACTGCGAACAAAATCTCACAGAAGAAGAAAGCGCAGGCTAGTCAACCGTTTAACGCAATAATGAAAGTCTAAGAGTTGCGAAAATTGCTAAGGCTCTTTTGAGCGCGGGGGTTTGTTAGCAGTAAAGTGACCAGTATATTGTGCTTACTTTCATTTGGCCGCTGATAATGAAGGAAACTTGCGTTCGAGCGGTCATTTTTTATCAGCGGCCACGATGGAACATGCGGCTGATAAAGGAACAAGCGCGAATGATAGGTGAGAAAATGAAGTGTAATGGGGTCGTATAAGAGAACCGAGGAGAAAGAGTACGGCAACATGGCAACATCGTTTCCCAAAGAAAAACATTTGAAAAAGAGTAATGATGGGAATGTTGTCTGAAGAGGAAGCTAGCCCTTTGAAACTAGAATGGCCAGCCCGAGGGATCATTGATGAAGGCCAGAATGGTCAGCAAACCGACGAGAAAAAAAACCTCGTAGCGTTCGACGAAACACTGTGTGTTGCTGACTGTGCTATCTACGCTTCAAACATTTACCGCTAATGTCTTTGTGCCTTCATTCAATGCCATCAAACTAACAGAGGGCTCGAAAACGAACAACGCGTCCATTCATAGGATACCGTAACAGTGCCGGACCAATTGATTCAAAGCACTGGCGCAAAAATCACATGGAACACGAAAAACAGGAAAAATGGGTTTAAAAAACAGAAAAATACACACAAAGCCTTTAAATCTAGCTGCTCAGAGAAATAAGCCGCCTGGGAGATATCTGACCTATGGCTGGGTAACTTTACTTGAAAAAAAATAGCAAGAAACAATGTAAAGAAAGTAAACATAAACACACCTTGTGTGTTCAGAAGTGCTGCTGGCATTGCTCTTAATAGAGGCACCAGGAGGTGATGAGGCTGGATTTGGTGAACTGTCCATGTCCTAGAAAAGGGCTTAAATAGTAAAAGTAGCCCTAATTAGAATAGATAGGTATAGCAGTTCAATACGATCCCCAAATAGTTATCGTCTAGGGAGCTGTCAGAATGAAAGAGTCGGCAAAAGGACAATGTAGTTGAGAAGAGAGGGGAGAATGGCCCCTGTGACTTGACTCCTCCTTCTTTCCCCTTCTGCCTCCTCCTTCTACCCTCATGAAGAGAGCTGGCCAGCCGCCGACTGATATCGCCCCGTGTCCAGCATCGTCCCTGCTCACACGTCGCCGGCCATTTGGCCGTCCTTTGTAAAACGCAACGCGAAATTGTACACCAATCAGGACACATATCCCAGCGTCTGACAATGTTTCTATATTAATTATATACAATTAATTGCGGATTTATTCTGACGACACTTTATCAGAGGCGAACAATTAGTGATTGTTCTCTGAAGGCGTGCATTACAATGGTGCAGTTCTAACTAATTAAAATTTAGCAGAAAACTAATACCCTTCAAGAGGAGGAGAGGAAGATAGGGAGAGGAGAATTCTGGGTACGGACTAGAGTTGTTCTAGTATAGCTGTCCTATAAAGACCACACATAGTTAGCAAAGTGCGTGATAAAATGCTACCCCCCGATTCAATAGCATGGAAATTTGCTCACACACCCATACACACACACACCCACTACGACAACGGCTACACTCGTTGACTACTAGTAATTACAACAAGATTCATTGACCAGTAATAGCAAAGCGTTTAGGTCTACACCCATCGGTAACAGGATAGGTTCGTTTGTATAAAGTTCAGCTCCCTGGGAGGTCTCACTTGGTGCCATGGGCTTTGTTTGCCAGGAAATTCATCCAGAATATGACGAAACACTAAGGTCAAGATTGTAACTGATAGCCCTTGAAGGAGAAACGTGCCACATAATCAAAATGCGGCCTGAGACAGAAAAAAGGGCGGGTGCATAGGCTGCAAAAGAAGCTGACTGACCGCCGGCCTGAATCAAAGCCCTTGAAAAAACCCTTATAGTTCTCCTTGGTGTTAGACATTCCAAGGAAATGATAGTCTTCATCCTTCAGAGCCCTATAACAATTAATACCCTTCGAGTGGAGTTGGACTCAAGGAGTCCAAGATTTGGGCGGTTCTAAATTTAATTAACTTTACTTAATTAGTAACCTCATCAGTTATCATGATATGGCGAGTTTTTGTGTGCTCCACAAGATGCTCGATCATCTCAGCCGAGTTGGTGAGCGATGTGGACGGATTGTGAACGATGTGGACGAGTTCAGTGCCGCTGAGTCGTGTTGGATTCGTCTTTCGGCGACTGCTCATACTGAAAATTGAATAAAATTCACTAACCTTCAACATATACTGGTAACCTCAGATAGTTAAAAGACCAGGACATGTCGGGAAGCGATTACAATGAAACGTCGCGTGCTAATGAGACGTCGCTAAGCATTCATTGTGCTCGGTCGGTGAGAAGAGATGTGAAATTAGATCGAGCATGAGAGGAAAGATTGTCCTGTGTGTTTCAATAGCAGCGGGACGAGGTTGATGCTCATGTTTATGAGCAAGAGGATAGACAGATGAAGATGAACACACT